GAAAAGGTAGTGTTAATATTTCCAACAAGTCTTCATTTGTTTCAGTGGACTCTCAAATTAAAGCCGTCTTTCCAGGCTGAAAATGTTGTATCAAAGGGTGCTTTCTAACCTATAACAAGTTAACACCTTCATAGGAAAATGCAGTCTTTGTTGAGACTTGTTAAAAGTGATTAACTTAGTCGTGTAATTATACAAACAAGTTGTTTTAAGACTTTACACTTTACTTTTCGTTTCTAATAATGTTCTCAGGATCAGATTAATAAAGATACACAGACACTACTATGAATGGAGTTAAAAGTTTTGCCATCTATACGCTGCTGTGGAATGATTCGTAGACCATAATGTGCAGGCAAGTTCACCGGGGAAGAGGTTTAGCTGCATTTCAGAGACACAAAGGCTCTCCCTCTGCAGTGTTCTGGACAGTTTTAATAATTCTCTGCTAGGATAATTTGTAGCATAAAATCTTGGCTCTTCAATAATAAAAAAATATTTACAAAGATAATATCTGTGGTTCATTAACAATGAACACATTTGTCCTTTAAAAAATTATAAAACCTCCCGCTCCCTAATCTGTCCTCTTCACTTTCTGAACAATTTCATCCTAAAGCTATTAAGCAGGCAGGGCAAAGTAGATGTCCACTAGGGATAGGCCAGAGTGGGGAGTGCCAAAGCAGGTGAGGAAGCAGTGACAGGACAAAAGATGTCAGCACATAAGAAGGGTAGAGGACACCCATGCTGAGGGGTGGTGACCTGGCCTGAGATCTCCAATCCAAATGGATAAGGCAAACATTCATTCAGAGAATAAGCTGGTATGGACAGTTGGAGACTAGGCAGGGTAAGAAGGGTGTTCACACATGGGACAGCAAGATCTAGGTGCTGAAGCTCAGACAGGATGTGGAGAGGGCCTCCCACAAAAGGGCAGACCAACACAAAGTGTCAGAACCAGACAGAGTGAGGAGCACATCTTACAAGGGCAGCTGTGGAAGCCCAGACAGACATGAGGGGATTCTCCAAGAAGCAAGGGTGGAATGATCCCCACAACTAGGGTAGTGGGAGGAGAGAGGCTTTGGAAACAACAGCACAGTCACTGAAATCTCAAGAAAGCATGGTGAAAGAGAAGTGCACCCACTAGGCTACACAGTGAAGGAACACTGTGCCCAATCCATGTCGAAGATGTAAAGAGGGCACCTTGGAGCCTGACTTCTCTGAGTTGAAGTTAACAGAAAATTAGCCCAGCTTCTATGGATTTAGACTTGAAATGGAAATACAAGTATGAACTCAAGGCTTTCAATTATACAGATTAACAGAGAAATGAAATGTAATTGCTTCCAACACACACATATTTCCTTGCTTGTCTCTGAGAGGGGCTGGGAGCAACAACACCCCATAGCAATGAGTACTCCTAGCACGCAAACCTTAGCTTCTAAATACAGTCATATCTGAGTATTTGACTACTCTGAACCTCATGGAATTTGGTATTTGTACACTTTGTCTTGCTACTTCTCATTTGTCTGGGACTCCCATGCAAGCAAGAATTTATCAGTGCTGACTGCCTCATGACTCAGTACCTTGCCCAAATAAAATAGTGTATTTGGTGCTCACCTTTTTGGCATTCATCATACCCCCCTGAGCCAATTAATGACAGCACTAAGGCATCACTGTACAATTCTCCTCTAAAAGAAACAAGGCTTTTTGGAGAAATAGCTAAATCTAGTCTAAACAGAGAAAGTACAAAACGGGCTTGGAAGGCAAAGAAGTACTCAAAGAATGATGAGGTCATGTCAAAAGGACACAGGAGCTAAGCTGAAGGGGCTTCACTAGTCAAATGCAGGATAATCTGAGCATCAAAATCAATAATGTGCCAGGTGTGGTGGCACATACCTGTAATCCCAGCACTTGGGAGGCTGAATCAGGAGGATTGCCAGGGGTTAGAGGCCAGCCTGGGCTACACAGTGAGTTCAAGGCCAGCCTGAACAACATAGGAAGACCCTGTCTCAAAAATATATAATAATGACAGCCTGCACACTAAATAAAACAGGACACAAGTCCATATTTATCAATGTGGACCATAAGTGATTGTATCCATAGCTTCATGTGCGATAGGAGGCAGGGCCCAGTGGGAGGAAATAGGTCAGTGTCTGCGGCTGGCATTCTTTCCCTCTTCTCTGCTTCCTGACTGCCAAGAAGCGAGTAGCCCTGCTTTATACTGCCCTTCCACCATGATGTTCCTGCCATGCAGTCTATTGACCGGGAACTGAAACTTCAAAAACTGTGAGGAAATAAATCTCTCCTCCTCTCAGTAGTGGGTGTTAGGTATTTTTGTCCCAGCAACACCAAAGCTGATCAATACAACTGAATATTGTCATATTTTCAAAGTAGCACCCCAGGAAATACTCCCCAAACATAAGGAAGAAAAAAGTAACTTTTCAGTGAAGTTTGGCAAAACCTACCTGAATCAAGTCACTATTACTAATGAGACAAAGTTCTAGAGTGCAATGGAAAGAGCACACACAGCATTCCTTCTCTGACACCCTATCATCTGTCAGAGATGCTTAAACTGAGAAACAAACTCCAACAGGAGGAACCTTCTAAAAATATCTGGCCTTTGTCTTCAAAGTGTCACGATCTTCAACAAAACAAAAAGAAAGAAAGAAAGAATGAAGAGCTCTTCCAGACAGAAGAAAAGTAAAGAGACCGGGACAACTTATTAAGTGTGTGACTCTGAACTGGAGCCTCTGGCTGTCGAGGATGTTACTGAGACTACTACTGAAACCTGAATAGGGTCTAAAGATTAGATGTAGCAACAAAACAGTGTCAAATTCCCAACTTTGATAGTCGTACCTATACTGTAATTACGTAGGAGAATGCCCATGTTTACAGGAAAAGCAAACTGAAGTGCTCAGGAGCTGGTAGAGCACTGAGCCAGCATCCCACTTTAAACTGGTACTTTTTTCTTTCAAAAAGTGCTTTATACCATACTGGTTATTTTTTTTAAATCTTTCATTAATACTAATTTCCCTGATCTGCCCTTTACCAGAATGCCCTCACAACCATGATGTGTGGTTTATGTAATAAACCCCTGACTAAACATCAGAAGGCTTAGGTTCAAATTCCAGGTAGATTACAACAAGTACTTAACTGCTCATAGATGAGGTTCTTCTACTGTAAAGAAGTAAAACGTATTCTACTCATCTGCAAAGTTCTTTCAAATATCAAATGAGAGAAAGTGCTTTAAAAACTAAGAGGTGCTAAATCAGAGTAGAAGGTATTACTATTTATTAGAAAAACTAAAATGTCTCCACCTTAACCAATGACAGGACTTGCAAGTAACCTACATTTACTATATATTTCGAAGACTGAAACTATTAAGATTATAAATACTGTTACTAAAAGCAAATCAGGAATTAGCAAAAAGGAAACTATTTGAGGAAATAAGGAGCTTTAGAAAAAGGTAGATTGCACAGTCAGAAAAAAAATTTCACATGCACCAAAATTAAAGAAAAAAAGGTTTCTCCCTCTACAAAGCAAAAAAGACTGAATCACAGTAATGTATGAAAATCAAGTCCCTGGATATACAACTCAGGATATAAGCCCTCAGTCAGTAACAATATAAATATGCATATAACACTGTATGGATAACTTGGAAGTCTCATAAATTTCTGACACTGATTGTTAAAACTTTATTAGATAGTGGGACATTTTCCCTATGGTAGACTAAAGGAAACAGAGGCTGGGAAATAAAGACTACAGCTAAACACTGATTTTAAAATTCCAAAACCTATGCCTTTCCACCATAGTGACTATCCAAAAATTACTCATGATTATTTTGGTTACAGTGGTACTTCAATTCACCAAATTCTTTCCACGATTGCAGGCCACTGTACCACATCTTAATAGTAGAGGGGGCTGAAGGAATGGCAGGGTGGGCACAGACTCTTCTAACTTGTTCCCAGAAAACCACCACCTTCTCAAAAAAAATGTACTGAAATTACACTGAAGTTTTTTACATATAAATTTCAGAGAGTTCATGAAGCTATTTACAGAAATATGCACAATAACTCCTGTAAGTCACAGCTGACTTACTTTAATGTTCTTCCTCGTGTAATCATCACACCAAGTCTACGAGAGAAAAGTTATTACCATTATTCTGCTTAATAAAAGTGCATACTCTGTGTAAGAACAAATAGTTTCTAAACCTTGTGCAGTAATTAACATTCAACTATCTATCAGGTATTGCTATAAGAATTTTTCATGTATTATCTTATTAACTGTTCCAAAAGCCCTATGAAAGTTTCACAGAGCAGGAAACAAATCTAAGGAAGTTAAGACAGTGGGCCACGGTCACATAGACTGTAAGAAAAGCAGCAAGTCCGGAACGCAGGCAGCAATGCTCCAGAGTCCATCCTCTTCTATTTTTTAAATTAATGCAATGACTATGATACATAACTGAGTCTACACAACTGTGTGTACTCTAGTCAGCATACACTAGAATGCACTCATTAAGTGTGACATAAAAAACAGGCAAATGTTTAAACTTTAAAAATTTAATTGCAGTGAAAGACATTTGCTAATAATTCCCCTCAAAATATTCCCCCCTTGCTTTGAACACACTTCTCCCAACGTTTTTTTTCCTCTCATACATGTGGCAGGCAGAGAAAAACTTCATGAACCATCATTTAGATGAAGTAGAGCAACGTGACTGAATTAGATACTGACAAGAACAGGTGAGTTACAGTGCTTCCTTCAGGTCAGGGTCCACACACTGTTCATATATAAAACAACTCGCATATACAGTACCAGCCATTCCATGCTAGAAATCCTCAAAACTAAGAGGCTTAAAAAAAATGAGTCCAAGTTGCCCGAGTATTCCTCAAATATTCAGAGGCTTAATACGTGTCATGATATCTAAATAGTTTCTCAAGCAAGAGGAGATGTGTGGCTTCCTCTGACTAAAAATAATTAACATTTTCTGAAAGGATCTATCTGTGTACTGCTGAGGTAAAAATAAATAAGAATACATATATGGAACATCCTTGCACAAGGGTCATACTAACGTTCTCTGTATCGTTCCAATTTTGGTATATATGTGTGCTGCCAAAGCGAACACTCTCCCAATATGCTTGCCTCTTTCTGAAGCAGTTCTCGAAGCCCACTTTCATAAAGTCCTATTTCATATTCAGACCTTAATGATTTTTCAACATAGATCACGAACCAACATAGAGTTCATACTCTTAATAACTTCGCTTACCCTGAACGTTTAAGTTACATGGGAACCGCTGTAAAACTCAGACCCCATGTTCTACACACAGAGACTGATTCACCAGGTTAGAGGGTTAGGGTCCAGGGAAACTATTTTCTGAAAAGTGATTCGGATAATCTACTGATTATGAATCTGTTCTCCCAAGTGATTCTGATCAACTGGATTTGGTAATCCCTGTGAAACAGTTTTCAAATGTGCCAAGATGTGAGGCAACTTAGAAATCACAACACCCTTTGGAAGACTTTGAAACATACACTTAAAACAAACGTTAAAATGGTAACCTTTTTAGCAGGCATCAAAAGTTTAAACAAATTTATGGCAATTTAGTGGAATTACACCTTCAAGCAAGGTGAAATAAGTTTTATCCTTTCTTCTCTGACAACCAAAAAGCTATCTATCCATCTATCAATGCTTTTCAGGACACTAGGTCAGAACACAAAGCACAGTGGTCCCTTAACAGATAGAAAACAAATGAGGTAAATCTGATTGTCTCAAGATTATTGCCTTTAATAAGCCCAAGAATGATAACAAAATACAAAAATATCAGCATCCAACAAGGTAAAATATATATTGCTGGCATTCAATGAAAGCTCACCACGCATGCAAATAATCTGGAAAATATGATTCATGATGAGGATCCAAATTAGAATCAGCAAAAAGGACACTGTGTAACATTATTCTGTGTGTTCAAAAAGTTAGTTATAGAAGAGTCAAAGATGACCAAAACTAGATGGACATGGTGGCATATGCCTACAACCCTAGCATTTAAGGGGCTGAGGCAAGAAGATTGCTTTGAGTTTGAGGCCAGTCTGGGCTATCTAGTGAGCTGAGTTCAAGGCCCAGCCTTGGATACACAGTGATACCCTGTCTGCAAAACAAAACAGAACTGAATTTCTAGATTTACAGATTAAAGACTATACCATGAGATAGAAAGTGCACTAAATGGAATTAACAACAGATTAAATATTGCAGAAAAAAAGACTAATGAACTTGAAGCTATAACTACAGAAAGTATCCAAAATAAAACAGGATAGAAGGAGGGAGGATCAGAAACAAAACAAAACAGAGCATCAGTGACCTGCGGGACAACTTCATGGAGCCTAATGTATTGGTAATTAGAATCTCCAAACCCGGAAGCGAAGACAGAAAAAAAATATTTGAAAGAAGTAATTATCAAAAACTTTCTAAATTTGATAAAAGCTATCAGTGCAGAGGTCCAAAAGTTCAAATCCATGACAAACAAGGGAAAACCTATTCATATCATACACAAATTGCTCAAACCTAATGATAAAGGTAACATCTTAAAAGCAGCTGCATACACACACAAAAAAAATTACATTAAGAGGATCAAAGATTAGAATGACAGCAGATTTTCTGTCAGAAACAAGGCAGATGAGAAGCTAGCACAGCAACACCTTTTAACTACTGAAAGAAAAAAATGACAACCAAGAATTCTATTTCTAGAGAGTATTTCAAAAGTGAAAGCAAAATAAGATGTTTCATATATTACATACACTAAAAGAACTTATCACCACCAAACCTATGCGACAAGAAATATTAAAAGAAGTTGTTCAGGCAAAAAGAAAATAAAGCCAGGTGGAAATACGGATCTACAAAAGGAGACTACAATGACTAAATAAGAGAAGTCTAGTAATCATCTCACTAGATACAGATGGTTTCACTGGAAAATTCTAAACATTTAAAGAATTAACACCAATACTATAGATATTCCAGAAAAAAGAGGAAATAATTGCCAATACATTTTATGACCAATTTACCCAAATCCCAAATCAGTAGCAAACAGTAACAGCCTCACCAAAACAAACACACATACTCACACAGAACACAAGTATACATTACAGACCAATGTTTCTTACATACACATAAAAAATTCCTTAAGAAAATTTTTAGCAAAAGGAATTCAACAATGTTGGTCATGACCAGGTGGGATTTATACTAGGGATGCCAGGTTGGGTCAATATTTGAATATCAATCAATATAATCTATCATATTAATAGACTGAAGAACAAAAATAACAAATTGATGCATAAAAAGTGTATGCCAAATCCCATGCATATTCATGAAAAAAATGCAGAAAGCCAAAAATAAAGAAGATTGTCCTCAACTTGACAGTGGACATCCATTAAAAAGCTTACAGTTAATATATGTACTTACTAGCAAAAGACTGAATCATTCCCTCTAAGACTGGAAACAAGACAAAGAAAATAAACACTTCTAAGGTGGAAGGGGGTGAAAGAAAGAGAAAAAAGCAAATGGATTTAAAAGGAAGAAATAAAATCAGCCAGGGGTGGTGACTCACACCTATAATTCCAGCTCTCCGGAGGCTGAGGCAGGAGGATTGCTGCGAGTTCAACCCAACCAGGGCTACATGATGAGTCCAAGGCCTGCCTGAATTACTTAGCAAGACTCTGTCTCAAAAAAATAAAACACAAGTCTGTATTTCAGACAAGAAGACTACTAGGAGACTTTGGAATTAAAATTGAAGTTATTTCATTCCCCTTCTTCTGTGTGCAGTTACTGCATTTCCAGCTTATCTCCCTGGAGTTTCTTGTCCTCCTTCCCAAATGGTGTGGTATCCACATCTCAACCATCGACTTGGATTGCCAAAAGCACAAGCCATCACATGAAAAACTGGTATATTACTGAGTCAAAGTAAGAATTTCTGCTCAACAAAAATGGACTAAACTTGAGCTATTTTGTCCTAAATCTTTATTTTCTGTGACTTGGTGCAACTACCCAACCTTATTCAGTTTTAACAACTCACGGAACACCCATAGGAACACAGTTTGAGACTTACTGTAAATTCACCCATCACTTAAAAAAATAAATAAAACTAAGAACTTTCTTACTCACTTTAAAAAATAAAAAAAAAAAAAAAATCTGAAAGCCAAGTCAATCAGATTTTTTCTCCTTCAAGAATCCGGAACTGGCTGGTCCGATGGCAGTGGGTTATCAGAACTTATTAACATTAGTATCACTAAAGTTGGTATACCACCCCCCCACTGCTAAATTTGACTGGCTTTAAAAAAAAAAAAAAAAGAATCCGGAACTGTGTCACAGAGCTGAAGTTGCTTACAGACCTGTTCTGGAGCACAGGTCTCCCTCACCAGCATCACCTGAGATACTTTTTTTTTAATATAAGAGATTCCCAGGTCCCAGGGATTCTGATTCAGAAGGTCTGGGTGAAGTCTAGAAAACATGTCATCCCCCCTGCCCTGATTCTGACATCCTACGTAAGTAGGAGCCACTTACTTAAGTATCAGTGCTTTAAACTGACAAGGAATAGGCCATTCGCAGGTGGGAAGGGCTCACTGGGAGAAAGGAAGGGAGACGGGAAAACCACCAGCACCCTCGGAGCTCCTGAGAGAGCAGAGGAGCCCAGAGGCTGTGAGGCGCCGAGGGCACCCCTGCAGCCTCACGCCAAGAGTTCAGGGCCAGACTCTCAGTGACTTGCTACAGATGCCACTCGAGGAATTGCTGTTTCGTTAACATGAGAGTATTAACAAACAGGGAAACATGAAAATTTCAGCTATAGTAGGTCTGCTTACCCACCCCAGTAAATTACAAAATGCTCATTTTTAATTTGAAACACCTACACATTTCATGTAGATCACCTCCTCTGCATTTTACTGATGGATGGTACTTAATTAATCACAGCTACTAAAACCTGTAAGAATGGGAAAAGCTTTTTTAGAATACCTAGTTTAGTCCAGGAACCTCAGGTGCACAGAGAGCTTTACGTCCAACTGAAGAATAAAAAATGAATCTACAGACTCACCAAGTAACCCCTCAAAGCAAGGAGAGTCAATACGAAAGCCAAAAATCCACACTGTGAAAGAGCAAAAATAACTGTAGTTGAAAGAACACAGTCCTAGAATGGTGAAAACTGTCTGCTCGCCTGCCCTGGTTCTGGCATGGAACCAGCTGTGCTACTTTGAACAAAAAAGAAGAGATGGCGGTGGGCAAGGAAGTCTGAAATGAGAGCAGGTGCTATCTACACATGGCCCTAGAAGATTTCCCTCTCTGGAATTCAATTTCCTCAGCTCTAAACGGGGCATACGGTCGCTCCAGTTCTGACATCTACGTGTCACTGAAAATGGCATCATTCTAAATCTTTTTCCCTGTTTGCAAAAATAGTAAGTCATATTTTAGGTATTATTACAAAGGTGCAGGATTTCTGCATCAAAACACAGATTTAGATCATCAATGCTAATTTCTCAAGTTCCCAACTGATAAAAAGTTCTTTGTCCTGAACTTCAATTCCACAAATGACACATATGAAAGACACTCTCACCTGCTTGAGAGCAGCGCTGTTTAGTGTAGGGCAGTTGTGTCTCAGAGGCCCTAGCACAGAGGGAAGGGAAATGAAAGTGGCCCATCAAACAGACCTCCTTTTGTCTTCTCTATCTAAATTTCAAATAAGATTTCCTCTGACAAAATGTTTCACAGCTTTAAAAACAAAAGTTCAAAGAGCATACATGCAGACAAAACAAAGCAAACATACAGGATGGATGTGGTTACACTCCAGTGTATCAGTGAAGAAACTAAGGTACTGATTCTTTAAAGCTGTTGCCTAAAGTCAGACACTTAGGAAATGAGGCAGCTAGGACCAAATCCAGGCCCGTGAGATCCACTCTCCTAACTACGAAGCCAAGCTCAGAACACCACTGCACAACCTAATAAGTAAGACAAAAACACAAGGCAAATCTCCAACACTGCCCAGGGTTTTCAAACAAAAAAAAGTTATTAACGTGACGTACAAGACTATTTGCCATTAAGTGGAGACACACACTCTTGGCTTACCTGTCCACCACTCCAACACATGC